GAATCCGAGCGTACCAGACAGCCCACTCAAATTTTAAGGAAATTTCCACAAATTATCTCACTTACAATTAAGGAACGTTAGTTGTATTGTAGATACTACTGTCAACTTGGTTAAATAGATTTTTTGCATGAGCAATATTAAATAAAAATTTGGTCATATGGATGAGGAGATTGACGATTTGACTATGCAAAGTAGCGCTAATGGCATGTAAAGATGCTCCTATAATGCGATTGAGTTATCTTTTTTTAAAATTTAAAGATCTTAGAGGCTAACTGGAACAATGACCTCTTACAAGTCAGAGGTACGAGAGTTGAGTTGTATCGGCGGCAGCAGAGTAAATTGAAGCGAAATAGTTGAAGGGTGGTGCAATTACACGCCTTAACTGCATATCTGATAGTATAAGTGTGCGTAAAGATCGGTTAAAGAAGGCTAGGATGAAGTTGCCTAATTTCGCAGTTTACTCCCCGATAAGTCGATAGAGGATACCGATCAGACCAATGTATTCCATATATGCCCCGGGTAAGTAGTGCTCGTATCCCCAAAATTCACTTAAAAATCCAAAGCCTCATAATGGGGGGACGGGGGGGGGGGGTTAATGGACAAGTATCTTCAGTTGTAATTTGAGCACCGGTTTTACAGCGATTAATATTACATGCTAGGGGTGCGCGATAGACTTACCTCCACGTGGTGCTCCATGGGCAACTAATACTCTTACGGCAAAATAGTCTATAAACCCCGGTAGTTTACTTTGGACTTCAAACTACCATGACCCAACTGTATGTCCTATTCCACCTCTTACAAAGTACTCACCTTACCTTACTGTCTACCTTTGTATTTGTCTCTTTTTAATCTGTGAATCACTCTTCTGTTCCACCTCTCCACTTTTTGTGGCTTAGATGTCCCCTTCCCCACAGTGAAGTCCGAAGTCAACTAAAGGGCTAGCAATATCTATCATAAAACCTGCCATTTGAAATAAATATTACATGATAGTTAAATAAAGCATTCTTCTAACTAATATATTAGGAATCGAATGCAATTAAATGTACAGAGGTGGCGTAGGGTTTAGCAAGAATAAGAATGATAATATTCGAACCTGTTTAAGGTGCTCCACCGCGATCTCCAGTAAGCGAGTTCATCGGCAGGTCCTGCATCGTCAGATTCCTTAATAATCAAGTTCAGCTCATTCACAGCTAATTGGACCTGTTTGTTCCAGTTTGCTAGTAAGGCATCTAGTCTCTGGAGAGTCCCTTT